ATTGAAAGTCTATTGGATAGCAAACGAAAACGTTTACCGGTTGTTTATGACGTGCGGAATTCCATGTAAAACTACAAATTCCTGAACTTTGTTATGTATTAAATACCGGTATATAAGTAGGTTACTTACTAATGCCATACATGTTAAACATTATTATCTTGGATGTTTCACTCTCTTGTGGAAACCAATTAAAAAATTGTTTTTAAAATATGCAAGCTTATTTTAACAGATTACATTTATGTAAAGGTATGCATCAGAAGTAATTATAAAACTAATATCTGAGTGAAATACATATTATTGAATTATACTGTCAGTTCAGAATAAGAAAAAAACACTTGTTAATTAAACCACATGACAAAATCCGTATGACAAACTATAAACTTGCACCATGACGTTATTTCATTGATTGAGTTTACAATCTGTATGTAAAGGTGTCGAACTTCGCTCTCCTCTACAACTCGCTGACGCTGAGAAGAGCGAGAGAGATGGCTGGCTACAGAGACTGGGAGATCCACAAGTACGGTCTGTTCTCAGAGATATCTCTCACTTATTGGAGAAAATACTTCAACCAACCATTCAACTATGAAGATAGCCGCGCTGCGAAAGCTAAACTTGTAGAAACTATGCTCGAACTAGGTGACACAAGGTGCAGAACGCTAGAGAGCGAAGACGAGTATTTGACTCCGAACATAGAATATTAGGAAGAAAATTCAATAATAGAACTGCGGATTACAAAGAGAAATTAAGAGAAAAAAGTAATGCTGAGCATTACAAAGAGGAATAAAGAGTCAACAGTAGCATTGAATATTGGATATCAGTATTCGATCAGTTTTGTTGATCTATTTTCTATAGGGGGTGGGGAATTAAGTATCGAATTGAATAATACAAAGAGGAATAACGATTTAATTTACGCTAGCAGTGAATAATGTTGTATGAGTTGAGAATTTGAATATCAGTGTTGTTGAGAACTATGTTTTTTTTATAGAGAAATGAAAAAAAATAGTTTAATTGTACAGACAAAAGTGGCCCTTTCTTACACTTAACCTTTATCAAAAACAATTAGGAAATGAGGAATCAAGTAAGAATCGCATTGAATATTGCAACGGATGAACAATAAACAGTAATATTCAATATTACTCAATAGTGAATCAGGTGTCGATTAACAGTAGCGTTGAATATTGAATATATTGTGAACATATTAGTAATACCATTCAATATTGCAGGACCAATAGTAATGATAGGTGGATTAATAGGAGCGCTAAGTTTTATAACGAGGAATTAGAATTAAATTGAGGCTCAAATTCTTAACATGAACATTGTAAATATCATAGACATCATCAAAAGCTACCACTCTGTACATATATAAATTGTTTTAAGAAACTCAACGTTGTTATATTACTTTCTTTTTCATTTTCGAGAAAAATCAATTCCTAATTATTTCAAAACTTCCATTAAAACATGTGTTTTTGTTTGACTAGTAGTTTATCAGCTGTGAAGTAATGTAATAGTTATGGATTATGATATGACACATGATACATTATATGGACTGTACAATGTTACAGCTCAACTAAGTGGTTATGCTCCAATGTCGAATATTGGGTACTCAAGAGGAAAGTCATTATGTTATGACACTGGTTATTGTTATCACATATGTAAGTGATGTTCTTTAACCAAAATTCGAATGGGGTTGGACATTCACGTCATTAATACACCTGAACAAGTAAAAAAAGCCGTTGACAATTTCACTACGGGTGATCCTCTTGCGAATAGATTCCTCGGACTAGATTGCGAATGGAACGAAGTTCATCAAAGTGGAATTCCAGAAATCCCAGATCTTCTCCAGATAGCGAGACTGGACGGTTACTGCGTCCTCATCAGACTGAACGTTCTTCGCAGCATGCCTCGGCCGCTGAAGAATTTCCTGAACGACCCAAACTACTGGAAACTCGGAGTGGGTGTTGTGGAAGATTCCAAAAAGCTAAAACGAGGCTACGACGTATCAACCCAAGGGGTTCTGGACATCAGGTACCTCGCGAGGGAGTTGAAAGTCAGACCGAAAGGAATGAGTTTTCTTTGTGAAAACGTTTTGGGAATCAAGAAATGCACGTACAACCGTCATTTTTGTTGGACGCAGGAACATTTGAGTGATAGGATGCAAGAGTACGCAGCGACGGACGCAGTCAACGCGGTGAGGATATTTGACACTCTCAACCGTAGAAGACTCGATCAAAAGTGGGGGAGTGAGTGGAAACAGTGGTCTGAGAAAAGGTATATGCACGAGACGGTTAACTTGTGGAAAAACTTTGTGGGGCGAACGTTTCAATACTGTGATGCCTATAACGACTCAAAGTTTAGTGATAGGATCATTAATAACAGGTAGTTTTTCGGTTCACCATCTTAGTTTTGAAAGGTAAATTCTACTTCAAATACATTTCAATATTTTTCAATTGTTATTTAATACGTGAAAAAGTAAGCAAAATCTAAAGTACAACTTCCAATAGTATTGTCTAAGAAATTCAGTGTTGAACAAATAAGGCAACTAGATGTACAATTGAATTGCTGCTTTCAATATCAAGCTATGCAAGAATATTAATAATTTTGTTAAATCTAACGACGAATTGATTTATCTCTTTATAAAAAGGAAATAATTCCAAATATTATATTATGCTCATAATTTGTTACTGTATAATTATTTAAACAGAGTAAATAGATTTTTATTTAACTTTTACTAATTATTTACACACAATTTACATAAAAAACATTCACAATTTTAAAGTTCATTAAATTATGGCTGGATAAGGGACGTAAACATACACTCTTATCTGCGTTTTGTCACCCAACCCACATTACGATGATCAACTTGAGAAGGTGATCTTGAGCAAAGCCATATTCAATTGAATATTACACTTACAATGGGCTGAACACATAAGTGACACTGCATAGTATGTTAATTTAAGACCCAGACACCCAGGGCAAACACTGACTTACCAATGTCAACATACAGCATTAATCACAGTGATCCCCTGGGCCCTAGGAGGGTAATGCCATTGGCGAATTGGTGAGAAACCCGTTTTCTTGTACATTATAGCCTACTTATTTTTTACGAATGGTATATGGTTAGGTTGAGAGTCATTGAATTATGTTCTTTGGCATCCATTGAAATGGACCAGAATTCGTATTGGAAAGTCATCCATATTACTCACAGACCTAGATATATTAGGTCAATAAACGATAGCAATTACAGTTCCCCGATTACTGCTGCATAACCCTTGGGTCATCCAAACATTTTGACATAGCCTTACGTGATATATATTTTTTTTGTCCTAGGACGCTAGGCACGAGCCGGAACTGTTTTGCACATTATTTCAGGTTAGACCTAGGGGTTGCGGCAATATCACTTAGATAAAATCCATTGGTGATTTGGTGGGGTTTAAACCCGGGACCCCAGGAACCGGAGTCCCGCGCTCTAACCACTAGACCAGCTCGCTCCCCCACGTGATACATTAAACAAGGAGATTTATTCATTGGATCATTCGAGAAAGATCTTTTTAAAAAACCAGCAGCTCCGGTTGTTATCAAAACAAATTCAAGAATCTGCTAAACCAAGTACAAACAAAATATAACGGCCAATAGCTTTGCCTTTGCCGATGAGCGAATTAACTCACTCCAGTTATATTTCAGAGGAAGCATCCCCACATTTTTCTTTCCAAATGGTGCTGCAGATTTCTTATGCCTACATCAAGGTATCATTTCGAGAGTGATGTGAGTTGCTTGTAAAAAATAGGGACAAACTGTGTTTTCGAGATCATAGTTTCCGATTTTTCATTGGAGTACTATGCAAAGACACGATTCCCGTCGATATAATAAGTTTATAGTTTAGGGCGCGTTAAAATTATTTACTTAGTAGTGAGACAAATATTCTAACCATAACACCGATATCGTGGGTTTTATACAAGTGCTCTAAACATAAAAGGGATTGTTGTTGCAATAAAGGAGTGTAATTGTTTTTACTAATCTAGTTCACGTCTTGAATTCTTTGACCATGACCATGATGAATGTGTGAAGATGATAAAAAAGAGGGCAAACACATTACAAATTATCTGCGTTAAATAACCTGAACACAAAATATAATCTAGCTTAGAAGCCCTCACTATTACACAGACATGACTAAATGGTTATTGTAACCCCTAGAATTATCATTAGCCGATAACGATTATCACTAAATCAAAGATAAGTAACACATCGGTTATGTCACAAGTTACATGATTGTTTACGATAAATAAAGTTTACTTTAATCGTGAGAAACAAACAATATACCTGAATATAATTGATGTTATAGAAGTAAGTCCTAACTCTACGATATAATCAAAAGTGAAAAGTGTAAAATGACGAAAATCCGTAGCAATACAGATTAGCAGTTTTGTGACTACCAATAGATGATGAAGGAGCTATTTTTCACTTGATCTGTCTCTGACGCGATGGGAGTCCTAAGATGAATTATGTTTCGGACTATGTTTCAAAGCTTTTGAATGCAACTCAACTCCGCGACGCCATTGAAATGTGTGTGTTTTGACTGATGTCTCCAGCAGATATTTCTGCGAATACTCTAAGGTGAGTAGCGTTCGTTAATAGAGTGGGACAAGATTTCTTTTAATTTGCGCTGTGGCATAGTTGTTTAAGGAAAATGAGAGTGGTCAAAGTAAATATGTCATAACCGTTTTGTATTCAAATTACGTACAGTTACCATGATGCCGTGTGGAGTGATTCTTGTGCCATCCCAAACTTTATCTACTCGATTTCTGTATGCAATTAACAGTTTCTCATAGTAAAGCATTTAAGAAAGGACATTTTGAACTAAACGCCACATGGAAAAATGCTCTAAGTCCTTTTTGAATAAGAAAGTTCCTATATCTTGTTAACGTGGATGTGATATCGTCTTCGTATTCATATTCGGTCGGAAAGTGTTCTTTCAACTGTTTGTTATTGAATGTTTAGTGTTATGAGATGTTGATGCGAACTGACAATGGCCAACCAGGAAAACACATTGCGAACCCAACCACCTGAGCGGTCTGATATATTTATGGTAAACGATGAGGCACATGCATCCATTGCTGTGGGAAAACTGATCCGGCACACCCAAGACGATCTTAAGGTTTGTGAATTCTCGATTTGTTTCCTTTGCTGTTTAGGTATAAGTATTAAGCTAGGTCACTATCAAGAACGGGTTAAAAAAAACTGACACATAATCTAAATACTGCCATTTGGATTGTAATTCATAAATGTGTTTTACCTTATGAAAAACACAGAACTCTAAAAGCCTTGTGAAAATCTTTCAAAGTCCAAAAATCAACCAATTTTACCTGGAAAGGTAATATGAATTTATAATGAGTACTCAAAAATCAAACCTTTTCAGGACAAAAAGAATCTATCCAGGAAGAACAAAATTTCTTCTATCAGCATTGACATCTGAGATATGTTTAATTTTAAATTTTTAACTTCGCAAACTGGTCTATTTTCCAATGGTTTAATATTTTGAAGGTATTCGGGGTTGACTGCGAATGGGATTTGGTTAGCAAAAAAGGCCAACCACACAAACCCGACGTTCTTCAGATCGCGACTGTAGACGGCTTCTGCGCCATCTTCAGACTTCATTTGCTGAAAAAGGTTCCACAAGAGCTTAAGGGATTTCTCGAGGATCCATACTATGCTAAGGTAACGATATGCAAAGTATATATTACTCCAGATTATTCAATATCTATTTTAAGACCCGTTGTCTACATCATAGAAGGTTGTCCCAATGTTTCTATTGTACAACGGTTGTTTAGGAGTACCAAAAACCAATATTATCCGTACCACTAACTTTCTTCTCGAACTATAAGAGAATTAGGTAGATCAACAAAAAGATGTTAAAATTGCTTTGATCGATATTTACATGAATAATTAATTCCAGTGAGTCCGGTGCCTTACTCGGTGGCGCCACGGGCTCTGGTCCATGGCAGCGATGTTGTGGGTTTGAATCCTCGTGTTAGCCACTACTTTTTATGAGTATTGTTCACCATTGTACTGTACCGGTTAACCCCTTGCTGTGCTGGATACGTTCCATACACAGGCCCAAAGCCTATGGGCAAATGTAAGCGTAAAAGAGGCCACAAACCTCTTGAAAAACACAAAAAGCGAACCGCAAAGAATGAAAGTCACCTTGGGAACCAAACCTAGACTTAAGTAAAGAGTAGTAAAGGAAGTAAAGAGTTATCCATTACAGTACATGAATTTACCTTAATTGTATGTGCAATTTAAGAGCGGGACAAAGCCTCTGAACAAAGGCACTTCCCTACCAATTTTAGAATCCATCGTGCTGCAGACTGAACCACCAATTCACACAAGCAATTAGATCTCTCTTGTTTTGATCCTTCATCTTTAAAATTCTTCGCATAACGTTTTCAACATTATGCAATTTATTTGTACCCTTCTTCAGGTCGGCGTGGGAATTATCGAGGACTGTGACAAGCTCAGGACGTACTTCGAGGTCAACACCGGTTGTGCGATCGACGTCCGCTTCCTCGCCGACGACCATAAGATTCTTCCCAGGGGCCTCAGTCACCTCACGAAGTCCGTCCTAGGAGTCGACCTGACCAAGCATCATCATTCCTTCCACTACTGGACGGGCAGACTGTCAGCCATTCAGAAACAATACGCGGCGTTAGACGCAATCTACCCTGCCAGGGTGAGGATTATAAGCCTGTTGGGTTTTTTAATCTGTACGTTGGAATCTGTATCCTGACCTTTCTTCTACCTGAGACTAGTCCGGGCCTTGAACCATTGACCAGGTAGCCATGATCAAAAAACAGGTTCCATCATACAGACTGTGCCGTTGACTAGGCGTTTTATGCCTTGATGCTAGTGTACTGAGTTAGAGTACCTACTCATGATGTCCCCAAGGTCAAATGATGTACCCAAACAAAGCTGTGAAACACCATGATCAGTGAGTCTGAGGTGTGGTTAAAAACAACTTAATCAGAATAAAAGGTACGCAATTCATTCTAAATTCGTCCAATATTATCTTAACCATCAAAGTACCAGTTTAGTATAAATAAAAACTTTTAACAGTAATAGTTAGGGGGAGGATTTTGAACATAATGTTGGTCCCGAAACAGCTATTTGGTACATTGGCGCAACAGGTTTCTGCCTTTATTCGTAGACTAATCATAATTTTCAATCAAATTTAAGAATCTTCAGATAAATTTGTAAAACAAGAGCTTAACAGTGAGAATGTCTTCTATAATTATGAAGATTCATTACATATATGTTCTTACTACCTGAAATGAAAGATCTAAAGGATGACATTAACTGTTCCAGCTGTTCTACAAGCTGAGCCACGAAAAACTCCTCCAGCTGTACGAAAACGAATGGCAAACCTGGAGTCCCGAGCAATACCACCAGAAATCCATCGGGTTGTGGGAAAAATACGTGAACGTACCGTTCGACTTCTCAAAGTCCAATTACGTTAAGAGCCAGGTGATAGACATGATGTTGGCCTACGCCGACCTTTCCATGAAGGACGTAAAAGACCAAGCGGTTGTAGAAGAAGAGCCACCAACACCACCAGACTTTAAAGCTAGGTTCGCATCTAACAAGTCAGCATTGAGGAAGGCGAGGCAAAACGACCGAGCAAAGAGAGTCCCACTAAGGTTCTTCAGGGCTCACGTCCGTCGAATGATGAAGCAGGGGTTGGACTTGAGCACGATTCCGGTGGACACGATACCACGGTCCATGCTGGGTCCTGATGGTCAATTGGACATGGAGAGGGTCAAGGAAGAATTAGTGGAGTTTAATTGACGTTGAGTGTGAGACTTTGAATATGATCTACAGAACACGAAAGACACGTGTTATGAGGACACAATAGTGAACGAATCAATTCACAATTGAACTTAGAATTATTTCCTCAGGTTAATTTAGATTATTTGTTATACTAAACTAGCTAGTTCTGTACATTAAATCGAACACGAATATTTTAAAATTAATGTAGCAATAGTAAACTTGATGACCTAAACATAAAGTTGACGACCTAAAAGGCATGCGTAAATTCTATTAACGGGGTTTTCTTTTTATCGCTAAGCTAAGACTAATTATATAGCTTGAGCAACTATTTTTAAATTATAATTTGCAAATTAATCAATGTATACGGCTACGTTTTCTTTTTAAGTATTTCCTAGAGTGTAACCAGGTTTTATCGTATTCATTTGTCAACTTATTATTTATTGTTTTACTAAAATAGTTTTTTTTTTTATTTACATTAAATACATCCGGTCCATCGGAATTTGCTGGACCTAGTATTTTTATTTGTGTATGAAAAAAATATTACACAGGAATTAGATTCCCTTAGTGGTTATATGGCACATACATTGTAGGACCGCTATGAATTGTACGTTTAAAACATCTCAATACTTTATACAAAGAGTACTAGCTAAAAAAGAGAAGAACTAGAAAGCATGCAATAAATGTATGTATAAATATCGAAAATATTACCCTGCATAGGGCTAAGTCCAAGACATAAGCGATTGGCACCCTACATAGTGCTTTGCAGCAGAACTATGACCAACTAGAAAGGTTCTAGATGGTACTGGCTTTGCAGACCAGTCGGTTCTTTAGGAAAAGTACTAAAAATGATTTCTGCTCTACTTCGGTACTGTATGGGCATTTAAACGTTCCAAAATTAGCAGCAAATTACGGTTTAAAGTAATTAATATATTACCTTAGACGACACTAGGGATCCATGCACACCACAAACCTGAAACAGATAAAAAACATATTAAAGGTAAACACAACGACATTGATAAAACTGGGGTTACCATTCTATTTCGTTTACGTATAAATTCAATAATTCGAAGTTGTATATCAATTTCAACTGGCTCATTTTTGTGACACTTTGTGTACTGTGTAAACATTAAAATATGCCTACTGCATATTGATAATATTATTTATCAAAGCTATGTCAGTCGCTTAATCGTTTAAAACTCTTGTTTCGTTACTTCTTTTAGCACAACACATACACTAACTTTTGTGAATACTCATGATTCATGAAATGTGTGAAAATAAAACCAGATAATACCCTACTAATGGCTGTTTAATCTCGATCACGTCATAATTATGGAAACTTGGCTCAGACTAGTCCAACGCTTGATTTAATTCGAGGCTATGCTATTCTGCGAATTGAACTGTTCATAAATCCTTCCCCTGCGAAATTGAGTGATACATGTAAAAATATTAACGCCAGTCAACACCTAGTAAACTAAACTAAAATGAAACTCTGGTTAAACCTAGAAAAAGAATATGACGAACTATTCGGGGAAGGGGAGGGCGAGAAAAAAGAAGATAAAGAAGAAAGCAAAATGGAGAATGAGTTTGACGATATGTTTGCCGACATAAAAAAAGATTTGAAAAAAGTGCCTAAAGAAGATCTAATACCGGGTCTGGCCAATATTCCAAAAGGAAGCGATAGCGAGGAGGAAGAAGAAGAGGATGAAGAAGAAGATACAAGAAAAGACTTTAAGAAAGGCCAGGCAATGAAGAAGAAGGGGAGAAGTAAGTTCTATGATTAATACATGAAATTGTTCATACTACAACAATATTACAAACTTACACCGTTTAGCAATGCCATTCTTAGAATAGTGATTTTCACTAATATAGCGTATAGTCTTCTAGACAATCATATTTTATTTCAATTTAAAATAAAAACTCGCCATACAGTGTTTGATTATTAATGCATCGTCTTAAAACTAAATAGTATTTAAATTTCAAATGTAGTGCTTGGTTTATAAAATCTTTCCAAAACCAAATTTGCGTAGCCTACCTCAGACAGAATGCTAGATGAGCTGATGTTATTGTGCACCTTATGTAAACTTGTATTTGGAGTGGCCTGTCATTTATGTTAATTCTGTCTATTCTGTCTATTCGGGGGAATCATTCCTTTTACTTACAATGTATTGTAATATTGTTTTTATTTTATGGAATACATAATTTTGACTTGACTTGACTTATCTGTCTGTCTAAAATTCCTCAATTACAGGGCGATTTCATTTGAGATTTGACAAAAAGGCAGTCTTTGGGAGGAAGATTGTTATAAGAACATTGCAGATTATTTATGAAGAAACAATAAAATGCAAAGAATAGATTTGATCCCAATTCGCTATTTGTCGTTTCAATGCATACATATTTTCATACGCACAATAAATAGGTTTTCATGGAGGTTTTCTTTGATTTTTTTTTAGACAAAAAAGATATAAAATAAGCCTTACCTATTTTATTACCTGTGTAGTGTTATTGAATAAACCTTGTTGCACAACACCTTTGCTTGAATAAAATGCTAGTGCTATTGAATAAATCTTAGAGCTTCCTAATCTATTAAAGGCTAAAAGATTTTACACATTTGTCATTATTTCCTGAGATTTAAACCTTAACACCCCCCACCCCCACCCTAACACCTTGCGTTGTTAGCATTGTAATACATATACAATTTATTAATCAAACATGTTTTTTTAATAAATAAATAAATTTTATTTCTAGAGTGCAAATTTGGAGATAAAACATACGATGTGGGCGAAAGATGGAAGGATCCAGTTACTGGGAAAGACATGATGTAAGATATGAGGTTTGACAATAGTTATATTATGATTGTTAAATTTATCATTTAACTGTGTTTTCACTCTAAATTTGTAGGCGGTCGTTCTAATTGATCCAACAACGAGCTAAATAACTTGCTTCAACGTTTGAACATTTTTAAAGTGGCAATAAGTTGTAAGATTTCTGCTACCATAACTTGACAATGAGTTAATAACGTCTAAATTGATGAACTGACTTATACCTAAATTGAAAACAAGTAATTTATGATTACAAATTGAAAAAAAATTTTACATTTGTTAGCTACTAAATTGCATGGAAATGGGTTGGATGTATGCCTGCTTTACGTTATTAGTGTGCTTACGTTAAAGGTATTTGAGTAATCAAGGACAATTGCAAGACATATATTAGAGGTCATTGGTATCTTAAAAACAGATACGCATACCAATTAGCAAGGAAATATTTGAGCTAAATCTAGATTTATAAACAGTATTAAATGTAACTCATCTATGTTTACAGATGTATATTGATGAACGTACCGAAAGACGTGCAAAATAGGTTGGCAGAAGCAGATGTGACTATTACCAAGGAAGAGGCAGAACTTAAGGAAGAGAAACCTTCAAAGCCTTCGTCATCAGGACCGCAGTGGGACTATACAAACAGAAAGTCGAAGAGAAGAGGATGTCCTTCAGATAAAGAAAGTGAGATGCCTGACTCAATTGGCAGTGAAGAAGAAAAGCAAAATGGCAACAGCACTAACCAAGAGGACCACAACGATGAACTTGAGGGTATAAATAAAGTTGATTCAGATTTACCAGAAAAAGGAATAGAAAATCTAGAGAGAGATGACTCAATTGATGACAAACCTGGAGAGGAGGGGGGAGATTCAACAGAAGATTCCGTGCCGAAAGAAAACATCGAAAAAGAGTCCGAAGAAAACTCTGAGAAAACAGTTGTTAATGAAGGAAGAAGTGAAAGACTAGAGGACAGTAGAGAAGCTACAGAATCAGAGAGCGACACAGATTCCGAAGAAGAAAGACGTCGGGTTGATAAAGAAAATCACAATTTAGATGATTCAGAATATGAAGAGGAAGAAGATAAAACAAAACATCCGGATAATAAACCTGAAGTTATCGTGACAGCTGACGATAGAGAAACTGCAGTCGTGCACGCGGATGACCAAAAAAGTAGCGAACCCGCAAAAGAAATCCCTGAAGAAAAAACACTAAAGGAGAAAGAGGACCTAAGGAAAGAAGAAAATTCTGAAGTAAATGAGAGTCATAACCCAGAAAAACCACCACCATCAGACGAAGTCCCAGTCATTCAAGAAAAGGGGAAGACTATATATACGAAAGAAACTACAGTAACACAGAGAAAGTTATTCAAAACCTCAGAGACGATAGAAAGCGTAGAGACAGAGAGAAATGTGGATTAAAATATTTTAAAATCTTAAATGCTTTTCAAGAAGTCTTACTTCATTTTAAAATGTAATATATATTGTAAATTTTATGTTCTGCTACCTGTGGTAGATTGTGACTATTTAACTGAAACTGTGAAAATTCTCGTCTTGCAAAGACACCAATTTAACATTCTGTTGGAAAACAACTTTTCCCTGTAATAAATAGAAGCTGGGTCTAAACCTATAGTTTGGCACTCAAACCAGCAACCATAACTGGTTCACAGGAAGGCTCTTGAACCTAAATAGTCTCCATGTAATTGCTTTGCAAAATCTTTATGAAAAACAACTGTGTTATAAAATTGAATCCCCTCCCGTCATTTTATGAAGTGTACACGTTTAGTATATTTTTACTTCTATCAATAACTATAACATCGAATTATATAGAGGTCAAAAACGTGTTTTAAAATCCTAGAAGCACCATGGCGAGCTAGTTCACTGCTTAAAGGAAGCCGAGTGGTACAAGTACTCGCTTTCAAGTTTGATGGCTACTAGTAGTAGCCTAAGGTCACTCCTATCGCACCACCTGTCAGGGCAGGTGGGGTGAATTAATTGAGTTTAAAGCCCATCAGGCGGAAATGGTTGCTTCCGGTGCTACGTCACTTTGTGACGTCATAGGTGATGTGTAATGGTAACAGGATACAGGTGGTAGGAGCTGGTGGTAATGGATAGGGGATGAAACAGCTGTCTGTACAGTAGTGTGTTTAAATAGCTAATACTTGTTCGTTTGCAATTGTCTTAAATGTATTGGGAATATCAACCAACAGCTACACCAAGGTTTTAAACCAAAACACAGCTTACATGTAGACAATAAATTGAGTTAAAATCATATTGTCGACGGTAACATTTAACAGTAGCCTACAGTATTGTACTAGTGCCCGCGGCGGCGTGGTGCAAGGTTGTGTCGTTGTGTCACCGGCCGC